AGAAAAGTAAAACTGTCGCTATTTGTAGATGACATGGTTTTATATATACCAAGCATAAGGAATTCTCTAAAAAAAACTATTGGAACTAATAAATGACTTCAGCAAGGTTGCAGGATATGTATTAATATACAAAGATCAATTTTATTTTTATATACTTGAAATGAATAACGTGAAAATGAAATTAAAATAATTTACAATAGCATCAAGAATAAAATACTTAGGAATAAATTTAACAAAAGAAATACAAACTTTAAATCTGAAAACTACTAAACATTGTTGAAAGAAATTGAAGATCAAGTCCAGCCAGTGTGGCTCAGTTGTTGAGCATCGACCTATGCATTAAGAGGTCGCCGGTTCGATTCCTGGTCAGGACTCATGCCCAGGCTGTGGGCCTGATCCCCAGTGGGCAGTGTGCAGGAGGCAGCCAATCGATGTTCTCTCTCATCAGTGTTTCTCTTTTTCTCACTCCCTCTCTCTAAAATCAATAAAGGAAAAAAAAAAAAAGAAATTGAAGATCAAAATAAATGGGAAAATATTGCCTGTTCATGGATCAGAAAACGTAACAATGTCAAATGGTAATATTCCCCTAAATGTAAGCGTCAAAATGACTACTGATAATTATAACTCTGATAATTATAAAACAGAAGGGTATATCCTCATGACCTTGGATTTGGCAAAGGATTCTTAGATATGACACCAAAAGTACAAGCAACCAAAAAAAGTTTTTTGGTCAATTGGACCTCATCAAAATTAACACCTTTCTTGCTTCACAAGACACCATTAAAAAGGTAAAAAAAAAAAAAAAAAAAAAAGAGTGTGCCCTACTAGTTGCTGCATGGGATGCTATCCAACTCATGAAAATTAGATCTTAAAAAAAGACAATCCACAGAATGGGAGAAAATATTTGCAAATCATTTATCTGATAAAGGACTTGTATCCAGAGCATGCAAAAGACTTATACACTCACTAATAAAGAGAGAAATCACCCAGATAAAAAATGGACAAAGGATCTGAATAGACATTTCCCCGAAGAATATATACAAATGGCCAGTAAATACATGAAAAAATGCTCAGTTAGGGAAATGGAAATCAAAACTACCAGATACACTTCATACCCACAAGGCTGCCTAGAATCAGAAAGTTGGACAATTAAAAGTGAACCAGCCGGTGTGTTTCAGTGGACTGAGCATCGTCTCATGGACTAAAAGGTCCTGGTTTTATTTCCAGTCAGGGCACATGCCCGGGTTTTGGGCTCAATCCCCAGTGAGGGGTGTGCAGGAGACAGCCGATCAATGTATTTCTCTCACATTGATGTTTCTCTCTCTCTCCCCCTTCCTCTCTCTCTAAAATGTCAACATTTAAAATAGAAAAGTGTAGCCCTGGCCAGTTTGGCTCAGTGGTTAGAGTGTCGGCCTGCGGTCCAGAGAGACCCCAGTTCGATTCCCACTAAGGGCACGTACCTCAGTTGCAGTTTGTCCCCGGCCTTGGTTGGGTCATGTGGGTGGCAACCACTCGATGTGTTCCTTTTGCATCAATGTTTCTCTCTCCCTCCCTCCCACTCTAGCTGAACAAAAAATGTTCTTGGGTGAGGATTAAAAAGAAAAGAAAGAAAGTGTTAGCAAAAATGTAGAGAAAACAGAAGCCTCATGTATTGCTGGTGTGCACACTGAAAAACAGTATGGTAGTTCCTCAAAAAGTTAAACATGGTTACCATATGATTTAGCAAATTTTCTCCTGGGTATATACCCAAGATAAAGGAGAACATATACCAACACACACACACACACACACACACACAAAGCCTGTACACAAATGCTTATAGCAGCATTATTCATAATAGCCAAAGATGGAAATAACACAAATGTTTGTCAACTGATGGATAAACTAATTGTGGTATATGCATATAATAGAATATTATTTGGCAATAAAAAAGGATGAAGTACTGATACATACTACAACTTGATTGAACCTGGAAAACATTACCTTAAGTGAAAGAAGCCAACCACAGAAGTCCACATATTATTATATGATTCCACTCATATGAAAGCCCAGCACAGGGAACTCTAGAGAGAAAGCAGTAGATTAGTGGTTGATTAGTTGGGAGTGAGGAGGATGAGAGATGATAGCTAAAGCATCAACATGATGAAAATGTTCTGAAATTGACTATGTTGATGGGTGCACATATCCAAATACACTAAAAACTATTGAATTGTACACTTTAAGTAGGTGAATTATATAGTACGTGAATTATATTTCAAGCTGTTAAAAAAAGGGACAAGGAAGATGTTTATATATTACTCTAAAGTAATCTTCAAAGAATTTGTTTTTTAAAAAATACAGGGAAATAATATTTTTTCATATACTGTATGTGGTCATAATTACATGAATCTATAAATGTGTTAAAATTCATAGAACTGTAATAAGGAAAATTTATTATATGATAATGTAAGACAATAAAGTTTTTAAATACATCAGAAATTAAGAGAGGAGAGGAATTAATTGTCACCAGGGTTAGTAATCCTGGTGGTAGACATCAGGAAAGTCTTTTAGGAGACATTTGAAAGTACCTTGAAGGATGGTTTGGCTCTGGACAGGTAGATAGTTAAGCAGAGGTTTGCTGAAGAAAGGAAAAGTATTTCAGACTATATTAACAATGGCCAAAAGAACAGGGGAGGAGATTTCTGACTAGTGAGCACTGATATTAGTTCTGCTGAAAGGAAGGACACATACAGGAAAGAGAAAGGGTCCGACTGTGGATTTCCTTGCATGTCTGGTTCAGAATTGGACACCTGATTATACAGTCAGTGATGACCTGTCAAAGGCGTTTGATCAGAACTCTGCCTTGGGGTCACGTCTGCTCTGTGAGAACTGTAATGAGTACACTGAGAGCATCTGGAAGGCCGATGCCATCCAGTCAGGTGAGAGTGAAGGACCGGCAGGTGGCGGAGGTCTGGGGGAGGAGGGAACAGACAGCTGGAGCCCATGTTGTGAAGAATGTGGCAGCTGGTTGGGGAGGAGAAGAGTCCAAAAATCTACTGGTTTAGAGCCTAAATGACTGGGATAATAGTGCTATTAAGAAAGGAAGGAAGCCCTGGCCGGTTTGGCTCAGCGGTTGGAGCGTCAGCCTGCGGTCTGAGAGACCCGGGTTCGGTTCCCGCTAAGGGCACGTACCTCAGTTGCAGTTTGTCCCCGGCCCTGGTTGGTCGTGCGGTGGCAGCCACTCGATGTGTCCCTTCACGTCAATGTTTCTCTCTCTCTCTCTGTTCCTTTCTCTCCCTCCCACTCTACCTGAACAAAGAATGGAAAAATGTCCTCGGGTGAGGATAAAAAAAAAAGAAAGGAAGGAAAAGCCAAGAAGTTGATGAGTGTAGTCTGGGATTTGTTTAGTTTGTGGAGCTAGAAGACCTCCGAATAAGATTAGTGGCAGTTAAAAGGGAGCCATGTAGTATATCAGAAAGTGCACTCGGCCTATTTCTTCATCTGTAAGAGATTCGGATTTGAGAGGCAGTATTTATGGTGGTTGAGAGCAAAGATTTTGGAGCCTGACCTGCCTGGGTTCAGCTATTAACTAGCCTTTTAATCTTGGACATGTTGTTTATTCTCTCTGGGCCTCAGATGATGTAAAATGGGGATGATGATATGCCTACCTAATCCACTGCTGTAAGGAATATGTGTACACACATGCTTTTTTTTTTTTTATCCTCATCCGAGGACATTTTTCCATTTTTTGTTCAGATAGAGTGGGAAGGAGAGGGAGAGAAACATCGACATGAAAGGGACACATCGAGTGGCTGCCACCCGCACGACCAGCCAGGGCCGGGGACAAACTGCAACTGAGATACGCGCCCTTAGCAGGAACCGAACCCGGGTCTCTCTGGACCGCAGGCCGACACTCTAACCACTGAGCAAACCGGCCGGGACATGCATCTTATTCAGAACAGTGCCTGGTACACAGTGAGCTTATTGTTATGAAAATGAGGGCTAATCATTTCTTGTCTAAGGTATTATTGAAGAGATGCTATGAGATAACAGAGGGAAATGGAAAGAACATATGGATAGCAGGACAGAATGTTGAGAAATATTATATTCAGGAACGAGAGTCAAGAGCATGTAGGAGGGGCCAGTAAAGGAACATTCAGAGAAAGACGGAAAACTAGGAGATATGATCACGAAAGCCAAGCGGAACAGAACAGGCCGCTGGAGGGACGGTGGTCTTAGAGCAGAGGCTACTTGGGCTGAGTCACAAGGTCCATGGGACACATCTGATGGACGGAGAAGTTCCAGGTGAAAGCAAAGGAAACTAATTGATGGAGCATAGTTCTGCGAGGATTTAAGAGGAAGGAAGATCGTTTCTCTCTTTGAATTGGAATAAAAGAAGGGAAGGCTATATGTTCACACAATCAAATTTTGAGTTGGGAAGGTTGGAAGGCAGGGAAGCCCACGTTGGATAACTTCAATTTCTTTCCCTAAAATAGGAAGCAAGGTCATCTGGAAAGAGGGGAAGGTACGGAATAAAACTGAAGCATGAAAGGAGAAACATATGTAACAAAAATTAATTAATAAAAAAAAATATATGCAATCTCAAAAAAATAAAAGTGAGGAGCCATTGAAGGATAAAATAAAATAAAATAAAATAAAATAATAAAATAAAACTGAAGCATGTTTCTAAGCCACTTTAAATATTTTCTCTAATTCTGCCCTTTGTATGAAAACAAATTATCCATGTCAATATTAATAGGTTATATTTACTGAGCCTTTAATGTCTGTCAGGTATCTTGCTAAGAGCTTATTTCAAACTTAAAGCATCCCTAACAGGCAAATGGTATCAGTATCATACCTATAGATACAGAAGGTAATGTGTGACACCAAGAAAGGACTGGAAGTTACTCATGATTACCCAGCTAATAAGAGGTAGAACCAGGACTTTATATGAAATACATCACTTGATCTGTATTGCACATATGTGAAAAGATTTTCTTTGCTTTTATATTTTGAAACAGGTAACAACCAAAGCCAAACAACTGAAGGATTCAGTTACCTGCTCCCCAGGTGAGTTAGCATCCACTTCACTCCATTAACCTAAAGCAGTTTCTTTAAAATAAATCCCTTTCTACAATAACTTCTCTAAATACTATGGTATAACAGCTTTGGCCAATGAACTGTATTGGTCAAACCTCCAAATGGTGTCAAATTACAGGCAGTAACAAGCCAGTATGTGATGAGTTTAAAGAACTATAAAAATAATAATAATACTTGTCCTTCTGCAGTACTGGGGAACCGGGGACACAGGGGAATGCCAGTCCACGCACCCCACATGGACTGTGCTCAGTGTCCCTGTACTACCCTCCTGCCCCCACGCACTGTCCTTCAGAGTGGACAAGCAGCTTCCCCAAGAACCTCTGTTTCTCTGAATCTGTTTCCTCCAAGACTAACTGGAATGTTGTTACCATCTCCATACTGTTTGCCTGGAACCAGGAAGTAAGAAAATGCCTCCTAAACCTTCCAACTTAACATAAATACAGGTCCAGGGAGAACACTGCAGGTGAGCAAACCCGGAGATTTCCCGAAGTCATCCCAGGAAGGATTCAGCTTGGGGTTCAGCACGTTTTAGGAAAGGGGGCAGAGACAGGCAGTGAGCTGTTACATGAAAGAAGCTGACCTCTAAGACATTCTCCAGAAATGGGTTTTGAAAAGGCAGTGTGATGTAGCGAAGTAGATACACAAAGATCGTATCAGAGCACCGGTGGAGGGGGTGGAAAGTATGAAGAGAACTGGGCATGTGGTTCTATTTGGGGGTGGTTGCCTGCCCGGCCAGTGTGGCTCAGTGGTTGAGCCTCAACCCATGCACCAAGAGGTTGCCAGTTCGATTCCCGGTCAGGGCACGTGCCCAGGCTGTGGGCCCGATCCCCAGTGGGGGGCATGCAGGAGTTGGCCAGTCGATGTTCTCTCTCATCGATGTCTCTCTCTCTCTCTCTCTCTCTCTCTCTCTCTCTCTAAAAAAGGGGAAAAAATTTTTTTAAAGGTGGTTGACTAAGGGTATCTCTGAGATGACACCTGTGGCTGGGAGTCCGAGTTGGTTTGCCCATTTTCTGTTGAGCAGTGATATGCACGGGCATCGACCACAGTGGCAGTAGAAGCAGCTCTGAGCGGACAGCAGATCCCACAGTGCTGGTGGTCCCTGCAGAGGGTGCACGTGGCATAAGCTCGGACAGACAGCTCAGTGATGCTGGTGGAGTACATGACAACTCTGCATTCTGAGGAGCCACCTCCCTAACCGCAGAAGTAGCAGGCTATTCCTTCTCAGAGGTCTTTGCACCCTTTGGTCACAGTGGGCTCTGTGTATACCCATTATTCCTCAGAGCAGTAGGAAGGCCAAGACTTGGAATCGGGCAGAGCTGGGTTCAGAAAGTCCTGCTTTCTGAGACTGATTTTTCTCGTCAGTAAAATTAGGGTAGTGATACGTGTCCTTCTAGAATAAAGTGAAAATTGTGTGAAATAATATATGTGAAATGCCTAGGACGCTGTCCGCTGTGTGAGAGCAGCTGCTGCCGCCCTGTCGGCCGACTGCCCGCCCCGTCTGTGTGCCCTTCCGCAGGAGTGGTGCGGCTCTCTGAGCTGAGAGCCACGGCTCAGGGCTCCAGGCCCGGCAGGCCCACCCTGGCCTTGCCCGACGACATCATCACCCAGCGGGAAGCCGCCCAGCAGGCCCTGGGGGAGCCGCAGGACAGCGATGAGCAGGAGGAGGAGCAGGGGGCTGTGGTCCCTGAAAGCCAGCCCAGGAGACGCCGGCCCGCCAGGCAGCCCGAGGTGGGGCCAAGGGTGGAGCCCGAGGAGAAGTTCCGTGGAAAGAGGCAGAAGGACTTCGATATAGCGGAACACGCGGCGTCCAGCGACGAGGAGAGCCAGAAGAGAGAGAGGGGCCGCGCTGCAGAGGAGCCATGGACTCAGAACCAACAGAAGCTGCTGGAGCTAGCGTTGCAGCAGTACCCAAAAGGGTCCTCCGACCGCTGGGACAAAATAGCCAAATGTGTGCCATCCAAGAGTAAGGTGGGTGAGGCGGGGAGAGGAGGCCTCCACTCTGGTTTCAGACCCCTGGAGTGGCTGCAGCCCCTCTGCCCGATTGTTCTTTCCTGTTCGCACGCTCTGCCTGCACTGTCCACGGAGCCCTGTCTCGCAGCCCCCCGCCGGCTGGGCCCCTGGAAGCAGGTGGAATCTGTGCACTCGATCCACTATGTATAAATGAGGGCAGCAGTCCTCGCTGGACCATTACACAGACCAGGTAGTTTTCCTCGGAAAACTCCACGCGTGGAACATAGATTTTACTCCCAGCCACCCTGCCGGCTCCTGGAGCACTCGCTCCACCCCTGTGGCTGTTCTCTGAGCAGCCCCGGGTGGCTCAGCAGCGTCCTGGTCTCCGGGAGGCAGAAGCTCCCTCTGAGGTTTCTCAGCATCACAGGCCCTCTAGCTCGGGGGCCAGCCTGCAGCCAAGGGGACGAGTGTGGCAGAGGGTGGCGTGCCCACCGCCTGCAGCCAAGGGGACGAGTGTGGCAGAGGGTGGCATGCCCACCGCCTGCAGCCAAGGGGACGAGTGTGGCAGAGGGTGGCATGCCCACCGCCTGCAGCCAAGGGGACGAGTGTGGCAGAGGGTGGCGTGCCCACCGCCTGCAGCCAAGGGGACGAGTGTGGCAGAGGGTGGCGTGCCCACCGCCTGCAGCCAAGGGGACGAGTGTGGCAGAGGGTGGCGTGCCCACCACCTGCAGCATAACTCTGGACTCAGGTCATCTGGAGACCCCGGAGGCATAGCTGTATGTGGGGTCAACATGAGAGTGACAGTTAGGGTTCAGCTTACCCTCTGCAGCCTAGACTTTCCTCCTCATTTACAGCTCTTCATGTCTGCTTGAGCACATCTGCAGATGGTTCTCAAACACAGCGCAGACTGGCGGGAAGATGGGTGCCCTGTGGAAAGCCAGCCCACCCTGGCCTTTGCCTTCCACTCGGTGGTGGAGCTACTGCGCTTCTCAGTGGGGTCCTTCCAGCTCAGCCCCTTCTTGACACACAGCCTCCGGGGCTTCTCTCCCAGGAGCTGTGCTCTTTGTCTGAGGCACCAGGAGCGCTGAGAAATCAAAGGAGCCAATCTCTTCTGCCTTCTGTGCCTATCACTCAGTAGCCTCTGGGCACATTGATGTTCATTTACATTCTTATTTTTTTAATTGAAATTCAATGTTGGACAATCTAGCTTGTGGCCATGAATGTCCCCGTGTGTACAGGTCTAGTTATCTATCACCTGCTTTAAAATGAGGAAGTCAAGAATTCCCGGGGAGAAAAATAAAACCATTAGCAGTCGATCTATTTGAGAAACACAGAGTCCCCCTGCCTCTCCAACTGGTTTGCCAGAAGTAATTCTTTTCCCTGAATTCCTCTCGCATCTGTCAGGACACAGGCATTTGCATGTGTGATGAATTGACTTTGGTTCAAAAGGAAGAGCTGGAACTGGACTCCTTATGGTAGAACACTCAGAAACTCATTGCCTTGGGGTTGGAAACCTTCCTGTTTCAACCAGAAATGAGCAGCACCTTACTGTCCTGCAAAGTTCTCTCTAAGCCGTGGCATTAGAACCAGGTCCAGGGAAGGTTGCCTAGGGGCTCCCTGCTGAGGAGTGACTCCCTGTAAGTGGCTTGAGAGCCACCAGGGATTCTGGGCCTGGAGGAGGAGCCTTTGCCTGAGGCGCCTGAGAGCTGGGCCCACGGGCCAGGCCGGCCTGCTGCTCGGAGCTCAGGCTCACACTTCCTCCAGGTGAGGCGCTGGCCTGCCACCTTCCCAGCACACGCTAGGCAGACCGTGGGCAGCAGGCCTGTTAAGGAAAGACCCTAGGCGAGCCCTGGCCAGTTTGGCTCAGTGGTTAGAGCATCGGCCTGCGGTCCAGAGAGACCCAGGTTCGGTTCCCACTAAGGGCCTGTACCTCAGTTGCAGTTTGTCCCCGGCCCTGGTTGATTGTGCGGGAAGCAGCCCCTCGATGTGTCCCTTTCACATCGATGTTTCTCTCTCTCTCTCCCTCCCTCCCTCTCTTTCTATCTGAACAAAAAAATGGAAAAATGTCCTCGGGTGAGGATTTAAAAGAAAAGACCCTAGGCGAGGCATCTTTGGGGTTGCAGATAAGGCACATATTTATTATAAGATACTCTGATTATACCAAGAAGCTAAAATCCTAGGAAAAGAAAATGTCTGTTCTCAGTCCAAAGAAGCTGATAAAATCATCTGCTGTGGAGAAGTCAGTTTGCAATGGACCTTAGGTTAGCGAAGGCCTACAGTGCCACTGGGGAAAGTATTACTTTAACAGAAATAGAAATGAATTCTGGAAAGTACCTTGTGATAAACGTGAGAGTAATGAGGCCCCTCCCCAAGGGGTGATAGCTGCAGGCAGAGGGATCTGAAGCCCACAGCTCTACACCTGCCAGGCTAGAAGACCCAGGTGGGCTGGACGGGCAGAGGAAGTTCTGCCCTCTCTGTCAGTGTCCCAGGGCGCTGGGCCCATGTGGCCACAGGAAGTCCTAGCAGCCCTTCCAGAGAGGCAAACCCAGAGAGAATAATATTGTGGGTGACATGTTGTGATGAAATAGTGAAAAGGTAAAAATGATCATTATAGTTAGCAAATTAAAAGCCCTACTCGTAACAGTGATGGTGGGTCTCCCAGACAGCTGCCGCTGGCCCTCGCCCGAGCAGTCGCCCCTCCTTGGGCTGGACGTTCAGCGGGCTGCCCCCTGGCACCTGTGTAGCCTTGTCTTCCTGTGACCAGCTGGACTCACCTGGGAAGTTCTAGGCAGGTCCTGTGCCAAGTGAGGACATGAGACCGTGTCCTTATCACTGGGCACAGCCAACAAGCAGGCCCCTCGGGCGCATTACCCATGAAGGTCACAATGATTTGTGGAAGTAATTGTTTTCACCTCTCTCTTTCTCTTCCTGCAGGAAGACTGTATCGCTAGGTACAAGTTGCTGGTTGAACTGGTCCAAAAGAAAAAGCAAGCTAAAAGTTGAATATTCTGGAAGATGATGTTCACCTTCATTTTCCAAAATGATTATTTTAAAACTCTTATGCAGAAATTTGCATTTTGTACCTCAGTATTTCTATACATCATGTGCCTTAGCAAAAAAATTTTAAAAAATAAAATAAAAAATAATGTTGTGCTCTAATGTTTAAACAAAGACTGTTAAAGGAAGAAAAGGATTGGGGCATTTCATAGCTTGTTCGCATCACTGCAGTTTCCTTCCATGGGGAACAAACAACCGTGCTTTCCGGCAGTCAGACAAACACAGGATTTTGAAGGAGTGTATGAGTGAACCAGCAATTTCAACCGTTGTCACCTCATGGCACCCATCAGTGAAGTACTACCATCCGACAGCACACCAAATATACATTACATTATTGCCAATCGGACAAAAAAAATAGGTATCATTTTGATTCATTCACACTGGGTGGCTATTGTTGTGTTGGCGGTTGTCTTTTTTTTTATTTGACAATCTAAGGGAAAAGAGGTCAGTCAGGTATTGCATGTTTCAAAAATTCCTGTGGCACATCGGTTGAAAATCGCTGGAGTGGACTAGTGTGTAAGAATTAAAACTTAATATGTTTCTTTGACCAAAGAACTCCCCAGCTGCGGTGCCCTAACTCCACTGCTGGCCCTGTAGCCTTCCACCGACGGGACATGCACCAGCCGAGCCCCAAACCCTTTCCCGACACTGACTCCGGCCGGCCGGCCCCCAGCGTGGGACATGAGGGACTTGCCACTTTGGGGACAGCAGCTGAGTTACCATCGGTGACGGACAACTGGCTCCTGGTCCTTTGGTTTCCATGAACGGAGTCGCGGGCAGCAGCTCCGTTCAGCTTCACCACAGGAAGGAGAGCCTGCGGCACAGGTCCTAGCCCTTGTCCCAGCACTGCTCATGGCCGTTCTAACAGCAGACCAGGCTGAACCTGCCTCAGGGGGGCGCCAGAGCCAGCGGCTTCAGCCCCCAGAACTCTGGGGCCTCAGGGCTCCCTGCACCGCTGCAGCCGCCGCCCCTCCCCGCTCGGGAGAAGACCAGGGGCCACGGGAGACACAGGTGTTTCCGGCTGCGCCGGGCCCTGGTCCCTCTGGTCTCCGAGTCCAGCTTCAGGCCTGCCTGTGTGTCCAGCTAGCTGGTGACCTGAGCATCCGTCTGTTAATACACCCTTTTTACTTACATTTCTGTCACACACACCCCCAAATCCCATCACAAGATTTGGGGCTTACAGTGTGGGGAAGGCCCCACGAGGGTCCAAAGATGCTTATGAAGTGCAGTTTAGAATGGAATCCTCTGGCGCGCTCACCAGCCTCCACTTTCCTAGACCCCTTGAGGAAATGAAGCCCTGGCTGGGGTCTCCTAGCGACTGCCCCCGCCTGCTAGCTCCTTTAAAAGAGATCAGAAGGGGCCCTTTCTGCATGGCTCCCCTCTCTGGGCACTCGGAGCTGCCAAGTGTAGTTGAAGTAGGACCAGGCAGTCAGACAGGAGACCATGGGGTTGGGTATGAGCAAGGTCATGACCAAGAAAGCAAGAGAGCTTCCAAAAGGGGTGCACCACCCAGGTCACGTGGGGACCAAGGCAGGGCTCCCAGGGCTCCTTCGTGCTCCTTCACAGAGAAGTGCTCCCCAAACCTGTCCCTTTGGTGCCCACCTTGACCTTACATGTTAGCACCTCCGAGGCTGATCTGTGGATCAGGCACCGTCTTCCCTCTTTGTCCCAGTTCCTCCACGGAACAATGGGGACTACCGGTAGCATCCACCTCCCCTTGCGCGCTGGGGTGCCCCCCGGGGCGCCCTAGGTCACTGCAGGACTCTAGGGGTCTGGGAACCCTGCCAGCGGCTGCAGAATCTATTTTGGATGTGTGGTTCTGGGAGAGGGAACACATCCTTCACCAGGTGCCCCAAGGGTCTCTCACCCCCAAAATTAACAGCCTCTGCTTTGGTGCTTACGCTGGTGCAGTCCACAGGGCCGCGTGGCACCAGGGGGACCTCAGACTCGGTCTCTGACAAAGGACCAGGCCCTGGACGGAAGGCTCATGTCCTGTCCCTCAGCGGCAGACGCGAGCGTCTGAGCTGCCGAGGGAAAAGCTTTCACTCCTGCGGCTGGCGGCCTCGGCCCTCCTCCTTGGCCTGAGGGAAGGGCAGTCTTGGAGTCAAGAGCCCCGGGACTGAATCCTGGGAGGACCAGACCAAGACGTGCACAGTGTCTGGAAGGCTTGGGGCTGGTGAGGAAGCTGGGTGCAGATGGCTGGGCAGAGGGGGACGAGGCCACGGCCGGGATCCGACAGCACTGCCTGGCTGCGGGCACCTCCTGGAGCAGGGCTCAGGGATGAGCCGCTTCCTGGAGGACCTGGTCTGTGGTCCTGCGGGAACTTAGACTTGCTTCCTCCCCTGGGGCATAATCCTGCAGTCAACCAGGTCTCTAAACAATTGCACCAGTCCTACATTCTCCTTTATCCTCAGGCACCCCTGACTGGCGGAACAGGACCTCTCCTCCCCCCGCCAGGTGCTGTCACCCACCCCCAGGGAGTTGGGGTGTTGGGCTGTTTGGGGTCGCCACCTTCTTTCCCAGCTGCCTCTGTCCCACATGCTTGGTTTCCCGAGGGGCGGGTGGGGGTCCTCTGTGACCACATCGCTTAGATTTCCAGCAGACACTGGTTCTGTGAAATATGCTCTGGGAACCACAGGGCAGTGCTCCCCGTCTCCTGATTGGCCAACGCCCCCCACGGGGCGGTCCGCCTTGAAACACTGCAGCCAGTGGGCCGCTCTTCTACTGCGTGCTTTGAAATTCCTGTCTCAGTTTTAGAATAAAGTCATAGGAAGCTTTATACTGTAAATGTCTTAGGTTATGGATACCTTAGACACCCCCCCCCCCCGCCACAGGGCTTTTCCTTGTGTCAATCTCACCCCAAACCGAGTCCAGCCACCCCTGTGAAAGGAGCGAACTAGTCCCTTTGACATACCAACTGTTCCTCCCTGCTTACATCCACGGGTTATTTGGAGTAGGTGTTTGCTTTTGTAGTTATGTTCTTTCCTAATATTTAAATGGTGCGGTTTAAATTGTGAGGTCCTGGCTGGTTTGGCTCAGTGGTCGGAGTGTTGGCCCTCGGACCAGAGTCTCAGGTTCGATTCCAGTCAAGGGTACAGACCTCGGTTGCCGTTCTGTCCTTGGCCCTGGTTGGGTTGTGCGGGAGGCAACCAATCGATATGTCTATCACATTGATGTTTCTCTCTCTCTTCCTCTCTCTCCCTCCCACTCCATCTGAAGATAAATGGGAAAATATCCTCGGGTGAGGATTAAAAAATAAATAAAATAAATTGTGAGATCCTATATACATGGGGTGATCATATGTCCCAAGGTGCGCAGAACAGCCCTGGTCTCACCGGGTTTGGACAGTTGGTGGTCTGGTCACCTCAGAAATTCCTCAAGAGGACAAACAGCTGAGATTCAGCATTCTTTCTGTTTGCTTTTAGTTTACAAAAGCCCCAAGGATGGAGGGGTTGTGCTGATCCTTACCCTCAGCCCTCCCGACACAGCTGCCCCACCCAAGGGAAACTGAGGCACAGAGACAGGGCCCTTTCTGATCAATGTCTCCTGCAACTGGGTCTTCCTGCCACCTGTGTTCACAGCCCTTCCACACCTGAACCCAAGACCACGTGTGCTCTCGTCCCCTCGAGGCCGAAGGCCATGTCTGGAGGGCGAGGTGAGGCGCTGGGTGGGACCTAAATGACCGCAGCGACCTGGACTAGGCAGGGTTTGTTATTTGGTAAAAGCAGACTTTGATAGTTCACCTAAATTTTAAAGTCCTCATCCCCGCTAAGGTCCTAAAACAAAGCCAGCTTCCCAAACGACGACTGGGAAATGAGGGGCGCTGTCTTAGGTCAGAGGGGTTTGCAGATGCGGGCAGGTTCCAGGTCAGGCCAGGGCTGCAGGAGCAAGCAAGTCACCCCGAGTACCCCCCCAGCCCCCCCCCTTCATGGAGGTGCGGGAAAGCCCTGGGAGCTGGAAGGCCGTGGGGCGCCGCCAGCCGAGTGCGGGGAAGCGGGTCTCTTTCAGCCCCTTGTAGCAGTAAGCTCCCCGCCCCCCTGCGGAGCCAGCGCTCGCTCCACGAGAGGCTGGAATCCCACGAGGCTGCCTGGAAGCCACCCCACTGTCTGCAGAGGTCCCAGCCTGTCTGAGGAAACCGCTGGGCCGTCACCTCCGACGTCAGTCTCCCGGGAACTAAATTAACACGCTGGGAAACAGCGGCTACAGTTCTCGTTTGGTCTGGAGAAAAAAGAACGGCCTCGTGTAGGACAGGAAAAGGGACCCCACTTGAGCAATCTGAGTCCCCGGGGAAATACTGGTGTCTAAAGAGCAGCGTCCACAGGAAAGCTGGGGACTGTTCCCACTGGAGGGTCTGCAGGGAGCAGGGACAGACCCCCTTCCTCCCTGCGCCCCAGAGGCCTGGCTCCTCCCTGCAGGGAAGGCTCAGCCCTCCTGACCTCTGCTGTGTCCTCCCCCTTGGGAAACGCGTCAGGAATGGAAACATATACCCAGTTATTCTGCAGGAAAGTTGACTGCTTGCCTCTCACCTTCACTTCCTGTAATAAACAGCCCCAGCCAGGAGCCACTGGGTCCCTGGAGCAGTAATTCCTGGATTATTACAGGAGTTTAACTCAAGCCCATCTTTGGTTAGTACAAGTTTGAAAGGAAATCCTAGTTTTTACAAAATGAAACTTGACCAAGAGCTGAGTGGCAATGAGGGAGTTATTTTAAATTTTATTTTGTATGTCCTAAGTTATAAAGGGAAATGAACAGTCTCTGTCATGTTTTCTTCTGCCACTACTCAAAGAAATATTTTGTAAATTTAACATAAAATACCAAACTATTTATTCCGAATTGTGTTGGTTCGATCTGTCTCACAAAGGAAGATGTTAACAGCAGTAGCGATGTCTCTGGACAGCGCAGCTGCCTCCCTTTCTAGAGTCGTGGCTTAAGAAATCCTATTGGAACTCTCCTCTTTGGCAAAAATAAGATCTGTTACGTTAAAACGGGAACAATTCCATGTGGAAGTTTTGTCTGGGGCTGTCTTACCATCATAGC